ACTGGAAAATTGCTCATGTAGTGCCTATCGATAAAAAGGATGACAGAACTGAACCTAGCAATTACAGACAAATGAGCCTTACTTGTTTTAATGCACATGTAACTATAATTAGAACTAATCTATTGGATCACATATATGTAAATATGATCGTAGAGGATAGTCAATATGGTTTTAGGAAAAGTAGATCTTGCCGTCACAGATCTTTGAACAGGGAATTATAGTCATTGACACACAGAGAACACATCATTTATTAAATCATGTCATTAAAGATGATATCCTGGTTTCTTTTAAGAAACTCCAGTATCCGTTAGACATGAGCATCAAACAGGTTTGATCAGCCCAGTGGTTTCCTCCTGTTTGCAGCCTTATTTGAGAGATCACGATCAGTAGAGGAAAGATGGGAGATGAGAGGCAGGAGGAAGCAGAGAGGTGAAGAATCTTAACCCCCCTGACATATCACAATCCCAGTCTCATTAACTAGGTCTGTCTTAAGCATGTGACTTTTTATTTTTCAGTTATGCACTACCTACAGCTTTCTTTTACTCGTATGTGTATTCTCTAGGTAGTCTCAAATAAAATTAGAAAATAAAAATAAAGTAAAAAAAAAGCAACAAGTTGCCTACAGTACCTGAGCACCTTTCAGTTGTTTTTGTACTGTATGTAATTATCTCTCAGCTATTTGTTTGTACAGATTGCTGTGATGTTGAAAAATGAAATTCAAGTGACCTCAAGCAGTATTTCTATGAAATGGCTGCAAAGATTTTTTCACACCTTTTATTAGGATGGGTTTCTCAACTACCACTAAGTTCAGGGGGGGCAGCCTTAAGAAGAAAAGAAGAAAGAAGCTATCGCAATTGAGCATGTGTTAAAAACATAGACCTCAATGAAACCACACCCCCTAACTCATATATATTAGACAGATTCATGTTAGCACACAGGCAGATTAAAGACGGTCACTCTGCTGCAATGGCAAAGGTATTAGCCTGCATAGCTATAGTAATTCTTCTGACAATCCCAGAAGGTAAGAAATGTAGTATTATTCTAGAATATTCTGAAATCTTTGAAGGTGAAAGTCAATCACTCTTAATAGTAAGACAGTTGCTAAATGGACTCTTTAAAATGCTGCACTAAGGGAATCAGCTTTATACACTTTTTTTGATAACAGCTTTATTGAGTGCTTTTTGAATACCATACTGAAAAGTACTAGAGACAGGAAAGGACATACAGTAAAAATTGGACTGCATCAGGGAAACTATACCTCAAGTCAAATGGAAAAATTAATAATGTAAAACCACCAACAAATCATCCAAAGAATGAAATATCTACTGTGAAACCCCAAGCATATAAAGCAGACTTTTCAATATCTTTCAAATATGATCTTATTGGAAGGTAACAAAAGTATGCAAATATTTCAAAGAAATGAAACAATTTTGAAAGCATATTGATTTTTGAGGGAAAGAAAGTTTTATTGTTGATGTTTATAAACACGCTTAAGTTACAAAGTGCAGATTGGTTTTCCTAACAAAATGCACAATGTTATATTGTTTTAAACTGCAGTGATATTAAATAATGAAGCTGTTTTTAAATCCTTTCTTGCAGATTTCTGTGTGGAAATCATTGGAGGGAAAGAAGTGGCAGAACATTCAAGACCTTACATGGCACTTATACAAGGAAAGACTCTATGTGGAGGGGTTCTGATCAAAACTAAATGGGTTCTAACTGCAGCACACTGCTGCTCTGGGTAAGATACTGTATATCCACATTTCAAAAATAATGCTGATAGTAACACAAATATTTTGAAAGCAATGTAAAACCTTACATTTCATAGTGATTATTTCACATTTTCCTCCAGAAGCCTTTGAAGATTATTGTATTTAAAAACAAATCATCAATGTTGTGTTTTGAATGAGAGCAAGATGGTAAAGACAGGTTGTAAACACATAACTAGTGTCAGTTTCAAACACCATAACAAAACAGACTACATATACATGTACATGTTGCTTTATTGTGATCCTGATTACTGTTTACACTGCATTTCTGAAATAGCTCCCATATTGCAATACCAGGATATATATTCACTCAAATGTTTTTTTTTTCTTCTGAGTTAGAGATCTGTCTAGATTAGCCCACACATATTCAATAAATTTCATATTCAGTGAAATTCACAAACATGAGAGTGCTTAGTGCATTATGTGGGCTTTAGTTCAGTATGTCTTTGTTATGCATTTTGATCTATGTTTCACTGTCTTTTTTGTCTATGGCAAGTACCGATGTGGCCTTTATTGTAGTGTTTATTTACATGCATGTTACTGTGTTTCTTAGCAAAAAAATGAAGGTAGTCCTTGGAGCTCACTCGCGCTCAAAACCTGAGAAAGAGAAAAAGGAATTTACTGTCACTCAAGCAGTGACTCATCCCCGTTTTGATAATAAAACTTTAGTAAATGACCTCATGCTTTTGCAGGTAACATATTTCATATCCTTTTGCGTTTCCGTAATGAGTGTTACTGCATGTTTAATATCCAGAGGTATAATGCATTTAATACTAGAAAGAATATATTGATTTTTTGTATCGCAGACATTACAAATATAAACACTTACCCACGTTCTGATAAACTATCCATTTGAAGGAATCTGGTTATTAATGCCCTCTACAAAAGATAACTAGATGCCTGCATTTCAGTTTCACTCATCTGACAGGTTTAAAATCTAGAATATAATATGAAATAGTTAACACCCAACCTCACACCACAGTATTCCTCACAAAACACAAATAATATTACTGTATATATCTAAAACAAAAGAGAGTTACTTCATTTAATTGTATCTGCTTTGATTAATCAGATTTCTTTTTCTTTTTTTTTTACAGCTGAAGGAAACAGTTAAACCTAACAAGTCCATCTCCACACTGAATGTGCCTGAACAATTCCATGATGTCAAATCAGGGAGCAATTGCACAATAGCTGGTTGGGGAACCACTAGCAACAGAGACAACCAAGGCTCAGATGTCCTGATGGAAGTCGATGTTGTAGCCATCGATAGAAAGAAATGCAATGGGAAAAACTACTTTAACTTGAATCCTGTAATTACCGAAGACATGCTCTGTGCTGGTGGTCAGAGAGGAAAAAAAGATTCTTGTAAGGTACGAGTTCCCTTCGGTTCAGTCATTCTTCTAATCAACAGACATTAACATACAGGGACCAATACATACAGCTGTTCAGTATTTCAGATATTTTTGATACTGTAACGTTATTCAATTTTTGATTGACTAAATGTTCATGGTCTGCTTGGTACCCAATCATATTTCTCTGTTCTCCTAAGGGATGGCTCCAGTGACTCTGCTATTTGATTGGCACAAACGTTATAACCGTTTTAAAATACAGTACTCATCCGAACATATTTCAATTCTGATGATGATCTTGATGTTCATTTTTTCTGCCACTTCCATCATTTTGATGCAACTATGCAGTTATTGGCAATATTTTAGAGGATGAGCAGTTGTACAAGCATATACATTTCCAGCTTATTATTTTTACAATGCTTATGTCAGTGCACTGTATTAACTAAAAACTGTTTCTCCTCCGACAGGGTGATTCCGGAGGTCCTCTCATCTGTAATAACAAATTTGTAGCTGTTGCTTCATTTGGTTATAAAGGTCAATGTGGCAAGAAGCCTGGAGTATATACTTTGCTGACCCAGAAATATATCCAGTGGATTCGAAATGTAACAGGGAGAGACGCATAAAAAGCAGCAGTTTATTTAGGTGAAACCAATATGTATGGTCAATGCATTTTGTGATTTTTTTTTCTGTAAACTTCAGAATGATATCTTTTACAAGGTAGTTATTGAACAGCATTTTTCCTTATTAAGCAGAAAATATGCAGAACTGTGATAAATTCTTAGTCAATTTGAAAACAGTCTCAAAATTAATCTTAGAATTTCTTAATATATCTGCATAATGATGTGATAAGCATGGAATGTGTATTGCTTCGATGTATTATCCTTTTCATTTTAAGATGCCTCTTTGGATTTGCTTTTAAATTTTAATACTTCTGTGTTAGGCTTAGCCTTATTAGAATATATATTCTATTACGTAATTTAAGAAGCATAAATAGTTTATATAATAAAAATGAGAAAGAAAGTAATTCAGACTCCATTTTGTGAAATTTGTCCAAGTATCCTACTTCTTGTTTTTGAAGTGTATTTTTGAGACGTAGTCACGAGTAAACACCAACACTAATTAATTCAGGTGGGTAGCTGCGTCAGCATGCGTAGGCTGCAAAGGAAGATGTAATAGGTTTATTCCATGCTGAAAAAAGAAGAAAGAAAACACAACATTTTGGCCATGGGGGCTTCAAACTTGAAGAAGGCCGAAACGTTGTTTTCTTTAAACCTATTACTTGTTCCTTTACAACTACTAATTAATGCCAAACAAACAATCCCATATGCTTTACTATTGTTACAAATGGGCGGTTACGATATTGGTGAAAATCAGAATTTAACCAAGCGGTTTAGTCAATAACTGAATAATTATTCATAACCCCCAACTTGTAAGTGTGCGACAGAGGACTCACACTAGGCACGAGTAGTACAGGAACATCACACAAATACACACATCTCACCAACCAGTTGCTAGCTAGCTCCAGAGGGTGCACACTCAGGGCTTGACTGGTGACTTAATTCGTTAATTTAAGGCATAGTGGCATCCAGATTCATACCCATATAAGCATACATGTTGACTGTATTGTCCGTTTTTATGATGCGATCGTGTGAATGAAGAGCGCTCTCAATTTGTGTGGTACTTACAGCTTGTTTGCTGTTTGAGACTTCCTGGTTCTATGGCGGTGTCAGCCTATGGTGGCTCCAAAGGTCCAAACCTGATCCGTACTTATAAAGGCATGTTTATAGCGTGTAAAGGAAAACACACAGGCAGGCATGAATGGGAAGATTCCATTTGTAATTTTACTTGGGGAAAGGGTAAAAAAGGAAGCTGTAGAAAGTTTTTGGATACATGTGTTTTTTCTTTCTTTTGTTTCGGAAATTATTATGACCTGACTGAATGAATTGTAAAACATTTTGTGTGTAAAATCAAAGAGAATTAGGATAATGGCTGATTCCAGGGGGGAGCGGTTTACAAACGATATAAGGTGCTCCCCAGGGCAGAAGGTTAGTTGAGTTGGACGTTCAGGAATGAAGGATTAAAAGTGTTAGAGCATGCATACAGAGTTCTACCTGGATTTTTTTGTCTTAAATTTTTATATTTTTCTTGTTGGGAAGAATAGCACTGTATCTTAACGACAGACTACTGTTCTTTTACATTTTCTCTATTCATTGGAAGTTTCATTTCACACCTCTCCGCACCTATTCTGACTTCACACCTCTTGATTGGCCTCTATTTCTGTCCCCTGCTCCCGCCTCTCACTCCTCCTCCCTCCCAACCTTTGTTCTCCCGCTACTTTACCTTTGCCTACCGCCCTCTCTCACACCTGAAGAAGGCTCCACGTCCGAAACATTGTGTTCTTTATCTTCTTTTTTTCAGCATGGAAAAAACCTATTACTTGTTCCTTTGCAGCCTACGCATGCTGACGCAGCTACCCACCTGAACTACTAAGTTTCATTATATATAATTAGGTAGTGGTTTTCGACAGATATGTTGATAGTTGTGGGTTCATGTACTGTGTGGATGAGTGCCGTTTTACACTTAAACAAAGCACTTCTCTTGCTATGGTCCTGCGATGTTCTCTGCTGTATAAATGGGTACCAATGTAAGTTGCTTTGGATAAAAACAAAACCAAAATGACTTAATTCAGTCTCAGTAAAATGCTTTCTTTAAAAACAAAACTTTCCAACCTTTGAAACCTCTGATATATGATTTTACTATTGTTTTGTGATCTTCACTATATAACTTATAATATATATAACTATATTATATAACTATAATTATTTTAATAACAGCAAGTACCTCCATGCATATTTTTCATACAGATTTTAGACGTCCACGTTTTGTTCCATGTATGTATTTATCTATGTCAATACAGTATATCGATATTTATCCAAATGGATCCATTTTTGTATTTATTCCAGGGAGATTCTGCGGTAGAGTCTTCAGAGCTATCACATCATTTGGAAAAGGCTGTGGCCTTCAGAAAAAACCTGGAGTGTACACACTTCTCACTCAGAAACACATTGAATGGATTAAAAAAACAATTCGTAGATCAGACTAAAATCTCATTTTCACATAAGAGGTAACACCTGCAACTGAACCACAAGCGCTGACCTGCATATAGTATTATTACTTTGTGCATGATTTTATTTCCATAAAATGTACCCTTTACAGTATATCACTGGGAATAAAACAAGTCTTTAAAATGAGCTTTAAAATGAATAGCTTACTTCTGAGTTTCCTTCTGTTTTTACACTATTTTGACAGGCTCTTTTGTACTGTTGTTGCATGAATTGCTTTCTGTACTTGACAGAAAGATTCCTCATAGCTCACCGTGCAAAAAGTGTGACAAAGAAACTTGCAACATGCAATGCTCCCATGCCCTTGAGCACCAGAGCTTTTTGAAGGC